CATGGCAAGACTTCTGGAACCAAGTCAGTTTAGGCTTATCTGGTCATTAGCATAATCAGAATCAGATCTGTGGCAACAGGACAGGGTTAACTGCCTCCCCTTGCCCCTTGCAGTTCATAGGAAGTCCCCCCAGAAGTGAGCAAAGATGGGGATACAGTCAAACTGACAGGAAACCACATCCCATCATTTCCCCACCAAAGAAACAAGCCTCCTCTTAGCGCTACTGGGCTGTAACTCTTCAGCTTATATGCCAGCCAGCTCATTTATTCCAGCAGACTGTTTCACAGGAACTGCAAACAGACTCAGAGGTACCAGGGCAGACAGCTCAAGAAGCAAGGCAGCCATGCAAAAACAGTCACAAGCAGCAATCCAGCATGTATTTGGAAGGAATCAGATGCCAGGAAAGGAGGTAGGGAATCCTGCCCCCGTTGCTGCATCCTGAAAGGAAAACCCAGAGGAGCTGCAGGCAAATCAAAAAGGGCAGCAGATGCGCAGGTCCCACATGTGCAGGTCCCGCGTCAAGGTGCGGAATCAACACAGAAAGTCAGCTTTGAACTACTACCCAACTCCTAAAGAGTAGCTGCTGCTAACACTGCTGTCTGAAAAGGCCTTTGACACTTCCATCACCATTTTTCTTTGGAGCAAGTCAACCATTTATATTGACCTTTTCAGATCATAACAAGATGTCTCCAGACAATGAGGCTACATGCCGTTTTGCAACACACAGCTCTAATTAGAGAGTGACTTCTCAGATGTGAAATTCCCACAAGATTACAAAATTTGGTGTTGTTTTCTTCACATTAGGAGACTTTTCATCCAAGCTTAATTTTTCGTAAAGTTCTTTGCAAGAGCATTCTCTGTGCATCAATTACTATGATTCATGGGAAGGAGAAATGCACATTTTCTAGGACCTCCTGATTAGAATCAAGCTGTCGCAAGACTGCTTTTGGATCCACAGCCATGTATGCAACCATCTCTGTTTGCAGACAGTGTTCCTATACTGAAATCAAAAGAAGCGTATGGAAAGGAAGATGAGTCAGCCCTGAGATGCAACTGAAGTCAAAGGTTTAGTGAGTACTGAGGGATATTGCAACGAACACAAAACAGAATCATTTGCAGAACAGACCAGAGCTGTAAAAGCAAAGTTAAAAGCTACTTGTGCTTGCCAGCTTCAGATGGCCAAACGACTTCCAAGCAGTAACAGGCCAAAGGAAGTGAAACAAGACAATGTTGCTATTTGGTTAAATTTAAGGTCACCAAATGCAACTCATCTCTACCCCGAAGTCCAGCCAAAGCTCTTTGTTATCTAACTCAGTAGAACCAGAGGCACACACTTGTTACTGAATGGAAAAGGCAAGAGAGCTGCTTCCAGAACCTCTGCCTGACACTCTCAGATTGAGAGGCCGCCCTGAAAGTGCTCGCTTTAAAGGGAACAGCACATACTGCTGAGCCTGGTTTCAAGAAGTGTCAGAGAAGAATGACAGGATCCTCTGCAGTTTAGGACAACTCATGAGCCAGCCTCTGCTCAATTCGTTCAAGGTTCTGATGAACAGCAAAAAAGGGAGCCCAGCCAGTGCCTCAGGCTTCTGAGAATGGTGGATATTTAACAAATGGAAATTTTCATTTCTTATGTCAATAAATGAGTGCTGGCTGTCAAGAGTGGTCTAATAAAATCAAGACTGTCATGGACACTATTTGATGTGGCACACAGATACAGAAGTGTTCAGCATCTGCTGCAGAAATGCTGCACTTAACATGAAGATCAGAAGTTTGGCCAAAGCAGCAGTGTGCCCCACAATGTGCATTAGGGATCTGAAGACCAGACGTGCCTGAAACCATCACCTCTCCCCTATGAGCCACAATCTGTCTTCAGGATTACATTTCTCATACTATTCAGATCATGGACAACTGAGTATGTTTTAAAAGAGCATCACGATCCATGGTGTTAGTTCTCCCATGCAGAACTAAAGTAAGAATGCAGTAACATTAAATAACTGGAAATCCTCCAGACTCTCATGAGCTGCTGGTCAGACTCTGCCTTGGAAAGGTAATTTCCCCTCATTTTCAATAATGTTTTGCATTTGCTTCATACCATGATGATTTACCTGAGTGGTCTAGGATAAGCATCTCTCGGGATCATCTCTTCTCTGAAGCTCTCAACGCATATGAAAGTGCTGGTGGTGAAATCCCACTGCCAGCCCCTAGGATTCACGGGGGGTTGGGGCAGCAGGACATTTTCACCAGGATCCCTTGCTCCAGAAATCTCCTTTGGAAATAGTGCGGGTCAAGGCCGAGGTGCTGTGGTAATGTTCATCAGCTCATAATTACTCAGGTGAAGGCATGAAGCCATTCGCGTCAGAACGACACTGGCCCTCAGCGGCACTCACCACGATACGACCTGGGGACAAATTCTAAATCCAACTAAAGTGATTCAGAGCTTCTGCAGAGCCACGAGAAACACGCGCTGCAGAAGTGCTACACTTGCACCACAGATTTGGGGCAATTTCACACGACTGACATACGGCTTAGCAAGTCTGTTCAAATAAAAAGTGGGTTTATATAACTGGAGGAAAGAAATGGTATAAAACTTGGCAGCTGCTCCCAAGCATATTTCTAGCAGCCTGGCTATTAGGATTGCTGCAGTCTGACAGGCATACAGCAGACCTCCCCGAGCCACCTCATAAGCCGACATACTCACCAAGTGCTTTGCAGAGTTCTGGATGTTTGATCCCAATGGTTTTCAACCTCTGCAGCAGCTCTGCTGAGGTCATCTGCCGCACTAAGTACAGCCCCACGGAATAGCTCTAGCAAGAGAAGGGAAAGAATGAGTGAGGCTGCTCTTCTGCACTCGTTTGTGGAGCTCTGCGCCATTTGCTTTGGCACGTACCTTCCCGTAATTCCCCCAGGTAACGGTGATGCGGTTGGTCGCTGCAGACAAGTACATGAGATGGGTGAGGTTGATGGGTCGACAGGGCCTTTTAGGTTCCACTCCAGGTTTGTTTGATGGATAGTAGCCCTAAGGCAGAAAGATTAAATATATCTATTTTTTTTAACTCAAGATGCTTTTATGTGGGTACATCTATTCATCGGCTTCACTAAATTCTACTCACCCACAGTTTTCAAGGAGGGGGGGTAGAAGGGAGCTGAACGGTCAGACCAAGCGCAAAGTAAAAAGGATCAAGTCTTTTTGCAAGAACAGTTTATTATCAACATAGCTAATCCATTAGAAAATTAGCTTTAAACTAAGCAGTGCACTTTTGTACTCTAGCTTCTTGTCTGCATTCATCAGGAAAACAATTTCCTTCCAATTTACACAAGTCCTTCCAAAATTGCAATGTCACACCTCCTGGCTGAGTTGACTTACCGGCACTGAGCAGTAACTATGATTCACTTTCACTGCAATGTTCGGAGGGTACTGATCCTCCTGAGGAGAACTAGTGTCTGTGTAACAGATTCTGTAAAGAAATGACACGTCTCTCAATATCCCCATGCTGTTTGCATGTTCAAAGCTCTCTGCACATGAACAGCTACCAGCAGCCAACCATCACCACACCAACCCATGCTCCCTCGTCTGGCCAAAGCAAAGCCAATTCCACTCCGCTCTCCCAGATCGGACGCAGGCTTGATACCTGGGCAGCAAAAAAATCTGACACACTGCTGTTTTCTACTGCAGCACTAACTCAAGCAGTACATGTAGGAAGAGGTTAGAAAGTAGAGTTTAAGATGCTTGCGTTAGGCATGTGAACGAACAACTTACTGTATGTTATCTTTGTAGCTACGAAAACCACACTGAAAGTTAGTATCTTTTGGTAGTGCATTCCCTCCTCCCCTGTTCTGCACCTGGTGTTACATCAACCCCATGCTCAGACATACCTTAGCACAACCTGAACTGATTTCACACCGGGCTGCAACTCCCTAGAAAATTAAAGAAGAAACAGAAACTTCAGATTAATTATGTGAAAAAAAACCAAACAACAAACCAACAAACAAACCCACACAACTCGCCTCCTCCAACAACCAAAATCAGCTGTCACTTTTACCAGACTCAAGAGTTTTAATTTGGTTTTTTTTAATAAACCTTTAAAGAATTACTTTATAGAATTTTATTTAAACTGTACAACTCCCTCTGCAAATATCAGCGGTCCTGTAATTTTTTTTTTCCTAATGCACCGCTCTACAGCCTTTCTCTGGGTTTTCAAAACTGTAGAAGTGTTGGGTGAAAGATATCTGTTTGCCTGGCACCCTTTGGCTGATTTGTAACCATTTACAAAAACGAGGTTTTAAGGCCAGGCCTACCTGACAGTGTTCTTTGAAGACTCTCTTTGTTCAATTATTCAGTTAAAGCTGTTCATGCAAACCAAGGAATCAGGTATTATGGCACCAGCAGAACAACTGTTAACATTGCTAACTGCAGTAGTACTACTCATAACAGGATTTCAGCTGGTGTCAGGAAAGCAACATATCACAGAACAAGGGTATTTTATTAGGAGTCTTTATACACAGGTGTAACACATACTCCAATTTCTGCGCAGGACACATTAGAGAAGATCCCAAAATTAGTCTTGATTTGCCTTTGAAAGTGTTTCATGTTCCAGTTCAGTGGTTTAGTATAAACATTTTGATTCTGAGGGTGAACCTCAGTTCAGCTGACAGACAGGAGCTGTTGTGGCAGTTTTACATCTGAGGGAAACACATCTGGATACCACCCACAAGAAGTGGAAGATGATGGACCTGCGCTGAGGGATCATTTTAGACTCCCACTGAAACCCCTGCTATGAAGTATTTTAAGTTGTGTTACTGACAGTGAAAGTTTTCTCACAATGAATATATGGAGAAAAGAGCATGAAGAATCAGCTACAACATGTGTAGCCTTTTATCACCCTTAAAGACTTCTGTGGTATATAATTTCCTTTCTGTTAAGTCTTCAAACAGCTTCCCCTGTACTGTTTCTGTTGACCTACTGGGATCACAACAGTAATCAAGCACTGGACAGTCAAGAAACGTCATCTTTCTCCGACTCTGTGATAACAGTATGATTTTACTATAAAGAGAAATATTTAAACGTTTTACGCTTAGTTTTGGAGGACCTCTTCCGCATCATTGGCTTTTCATGGCAGCAGGGACCAAGGGAGCAGGCCAGCAAAAGAGGAAGCCTTACTGCCTACACTGACATCTCTTAGGCGTTTCATTGTTTGAATCAAAAGTTGCGTCACAACAGAGGTCAGGGTAAATCCTAATCGGTGCAAGATGTTTTCTTATGCAGTTACTATAGTATCCTTTACAACAAGGAAGCTTTCTTTCAGATGCAAACAGCATTACACATATAGCTTTTGAACTTTTGATGCAAAGAAAAACTGCAAATATTCACAACACAAGCTCAACAGAGCATTTAGGTCATGAACAATTTCATACCCTTTTTCCTGCCCAAATGTACTATTCAAAAGTAAGATTAGAGGAGCAGAAGTGAAACTTAAGGACTTAGACTCGTAAAAATTGTACCTCCCACCTCCCCCAAAGCTATTCGCTTTACATGAGAAGTGGCCTGTCTGCTAATGTCCTCAAACAAACTGTGTTTCCTTGCAGAGAACAAAAGCTTCCACAGAGAGGGAACACAGATGAATTATACAGCTTGCATAATTGTATTCTGTATGGAATTGTCTTCAACTGTTAATACCCAATGAGAAGTACCTGGAATTTCTGATCAGCTCCACTTGTCTTGGTGTTAATGCAAAAATGCACGGACTTTCCTGAAGCTTCTCATTATTCTGTGGAACTGAAGAAGGAAAAAAAAAAAAGACTGTACATCAAACTGATGATATCCAGCTCTTCTTACATTGTTAAGCACAAGGTGATTATTTTTTTGTTCCAAGCTATGTTTACTTCTAAGTCTTGTCTTCTCCCATACAGCTGCACAAGAACTCCAATCACCATATATTTCGGTAAATCTACCACTGATTGCAACTTAGCTTATTTATTGCTTGCCTGTTTTGCTAGTTAGCACACTTTTAGTACACAGTGGATTTAGACTTTTTTTTTTCTTTTTCCTCTCCTGAAATAATCAATGAGCCAACAATCATGTGTTCATATAAGAACAAACCATAAGTGGCATCACAGCATGGAGACTAGAACTCAAAGAAGCATAAGAAGAGATCTATGCATGACATGAAAGCATGAAACCACCAGACTGATCAGACTGATTCTGGAAAAGAAAGGAAACAACATCAACAAAAAAAGATCAGCTTAGATAATAAAAAAGCGTCACAAAAAAAAGCTGTAAGAGACAAAAACATGACTTAAACACCTTGAGAGTGCATTTATAGGTAAGGTGTTACAGCACTCTGCTTTCAGAAACACTTAAGTGAGAACCCAGCATTAATTGGCCTTTTACCCATTGACAATGTTAAGAACAAATGCATTTAACATGGTTAAAATGAAGGTCGAGCTGTGAAAAATTTGTGTCATGAATTCCACTTAGTACCTTTATTAAATGCAATCACGTTCAGTTCTATTGTCAGTACACCTTTCCAGCTGAGGTTGGGGCCCTGAGCTGGTGAAAGTCGCAGGATAAACACAAGGAACAGGAAATGGTAAAACAGCTTTTTTTGTCTTTTCAGCAAGAATTGGGTGTTTTTCTTTGCATCACTTAAATTGCTAGTTTATTCAAAGCCAATATACCAGAATTTGAGAAGTAGGAAAGTGTGTTTTACTGTCTATGAATAAGATGAGATGAAGGAAGGATAAAACCTCAGCAGCTCTAAGATCTTGGAAGACACGGTGACAATCTGATTCACTGACTACAGATACTTCCCTTTGGTAATTCAGCTTTAAAAATGCAAAAAGGGCTATCAGAAATTTTAAAAAAAAGGTATTTTTATGGACTTCTAATTGAATTCCACCTTTCATCCAAATGTCTCTTGACCAAAACAAGAAGCAAGAAGTAAAGCATTTCATAAGAACTGTTATTTTTAGAAAAGGAATAATTACAATAACAAAAAAAAAAATCATTTTACTGTTACTGCTTAAATAACTGTCCATAGACACACTGTCCTCCTGATTGTTGACCTACATGAAGACAAAGCAAACCTGATTAGGAAAACTGAGAAGTTGTTCGTGTTTTATTTTGCATTTATATCGGCTCACCCTTCTTTTACAAAAAAAGGGCCTGGCTGCTGAAAGCACGCTGCCCGCAGCACTGCCCGGCACCGGTACAGGATGCCATCAGAGACAGAAGTCAATCCCTGTGAAGTATCCAACTAATTTGCTATCACCTCTCCAGCAAAATAGCCTAGCATTAAAACCAGCACACTACTGAATTTCAAAACAGGTACTTTGCTCACTTTTGTGACACACCAAACAGCTGCTGACAACAACAGAAGCGAGCGCTGCTCCCGGGCTGGGGCTGAAAGACCACCGCTATCACGTACGGGATACGATGGTAAGCTCGCACAGCAGCCCTGGCTGTGAAGTACCAGCTACCGATGGGTTACGCAGTTTGACCACGCAACCACCAGTACAGGAAAACAGAAGATAGTCAGGTGCCGACGTCTCTCTACAGCTACTTAGTTAACAACTCTCCTCTCTGTGCGTGAAGTAAGAGAAATGAGTAGCAGCAGCAGCAGCAGCACGTACTCCTCATTTTCTTTATTTCTGTATTGGGTTTGCGTGGCACAGTTTTGGTAGCGGCAGGGGCTGCAGGGGTGGTTTCTGCGAGAAGCTGCTAGAAGCTTCCCCCGTATCTGACAGACCCACTGCTGGCCAAGGCCGAGCCCATCAGCGACGGTGGCAACGCCTCTGAGGGAACAGAGAAGGGCGAAAAAAATGGCATGCGGCATTTGCAGACAGAGAGAGGAGTGAGAACATGTGAAAACAGCCCTGGAGACACCAAGGTCAGAGCAGAAGGACGGGCAGGAGGGGCTCCAGATGCCGGAGCAGAGGGTCCCCGGGGAGAGTCCTCGGAAGAGGAAGTCCTCGGGGAGACC